ATACTAATAATGGCGCCGATCAGCGACATATGGCGGCAATCAGCGACATATGACGGCAACCAGCGACTTATGGCGGGACTGCGGGACTGCGGTGGACATTTTGACATGGGGGGGACTGACTTGGGGTCACTGACATCCCCAGTGACACCAATACAGTGATCAGTGAAAAAAAACCACTGAAACTGTACTAATGTCACTGGGGAGGAAGGGGTTAACATTTTTAGAATTTGCTGTGTAAGGGAGTGTTTTACTAGGGGGCGGGGGTGTGTACTGGACGGGGGGAGGGAGGGGCGAGCTGATCGAGGGAGAGAAACTCTTCTCTCCCTCTGCAGCTTGTTGGCGAACTGTCACAGAGCAGGGCTGTGTGTAAACAATGCAGCCCTGCTCTGTGTCAGTTATCACCGCTCATCGCAGGAAAACAGCCGGTAAAAAACGGCCGTGACCCGGCGGCGGAGACCCGCTGCTGACACCCGCGGGACAGGTAGGGCGGGCGCGCGCCTCACGCGTGCCCCCTACCATTTTTGCAGGCAGCCGCTTTAAAACGTGCTTTTGCCTACTAGTGCCGCCCTGCCGCCGTTTATATGCGGTGGCTGGGCGGCAAGTGGTTAAAAAGTCACAGATGTTGGAAATTAACCTTTAATTGCCATTTTAACCCTTGTGTGTCTGTACCAAGGCCAAACATTCCATGGTAAGTAAACTTTTGCTCAGGGCTATATCATTATAATTTAAAAAGGAGCCAAACAATTATGTGAAAATAAATGGCTTCATATGATCACTATCCTTAAATAAAACACAGTCTTTTGGCATGATCAGTCATATTTTTAAAATAAATGCCAACATTTTACAATTTCTGCCAGGGTATGCAAACATTTGAGCACAACTGTTCAAACCAGTCAATTACAGTAGCTTCTTATAGAAAAGGAAATTTCCATTGACACAGCATAGCCTGCTAGTCATTGACAACTGTGAGTCTACAGAGATTGGGTCAGCTGAACTGGTCTCAATAACTCTGCAAGGCATCCCCAAATAAACTAGCCTGACCTGAAAAGTGAAGTTCTGTGTAAACTGAAATACAGGTGGGTTGTCACTTCCAACTGCTGGACTGTCACACAGAGGAACCAGTATACTTTATGATTCGGAAACCCTGCACTTGTTGAAAAACTGGAGATACTTGCAGGACTTTCCAGTATCCAGCCTAAATCTATCAGTAGCTGTTGATATTAATAAATCTTTCAATTATATATAATAAATATATCAGAAAGGACAGAAACATCTATCCTCATGGGGACAACAAGCAGGACTAAGCAGGTGTGAGATGGGAGGGGGGTTTTAGCCTCAAATGAGCTGGCCTTAATTTTTCTATGTGCCCGGAGTCCATATCTGCTGCAGGTGGCAGTGTAACCATAGGTTGCTCATTATCATCAAAGTTGTGTCTCTCAATAGACAAAAGAGAAGATTCTGGCCCTAGTAGACATTATCCTAGGGACAATCAGATCATGTATAAATAAAAAAAAACAATGTTAAAAAAGAGGGGAACTCCATAAATGTGTACCCTCAGTCAACTGCCCACTCACTAAAGTAAAAATATATACAGTGGGGCTCTATTGCCAAGGTACAGCATACAAAAAAAAAAAGAGGCAGATAGAGAGCAATCCACCAAAAGGGCCATACAGTATAACTGAGCCTTCAGAGCATACATTGACAGAGGTTAATTCATGGTACACAATAATAAAAGAAAAAATCTATATTAAGTTTACCAACATATGTACAAAAATCTGTAAAAAATAATAAACCATCTTCCATCAGAATAAAAAAAATAAGACAACGTTGCCTTAGTACCAAAAGGCATGTCTAGACATCACAGACACGTTCATACGGCCCACATTATAATATATCAAAGCATTAAATTCTGCAGTAGAGACTGTATGTATCCTCCACCTAAGGGTGTCCCATCAGTGAGACTGTAGGATCATGGTGACCCATAATCAGCTAAATGAGCCAGAGGTGAATAATAACAATGTTATATTAGCTCTGGGCAACCAAAATACAACACAGTTCAGTCAAGCTTAACAAGATGCATAACAGGATCACCAGGTGTAAAGAACATTGCAACTATTAAATCAATTATTGCAACTATTAAATCAATCAGATATTGATTCATTCAGGAAGCTTGTACTTAGGCTAGGAATGTAGTAGCGGCAAAGCCATGGATACAGATTAGCCAATGTCCTATATCAGGGTCTCCAAACTTTTGAAACAAAGGGCCAGTTTACTGCCCTTTAAACTTTAGGGGGCCTGATTGTGGCCAGTGGGAGTAGAAAATGCCCTGGAATCAGTGGGAGTAAACAATACTGCAGGCTTGGTGGTCAGTGGGAGGAACAGAGCCTCAACGTAGGTGTCAGTGGGATAATTACTTCCCCATTTTTGGTATCACTGGGAAGAACAGTGCCCCTTTGCTGGTGTCAATGGAAGGAACAGTGTCCCTTTGCTGGTGTCAGTGGGAGGAACAGTGCCCCTTTGCTGGTGTCAGTGGGAGGAACAGTGCCCAGTCATTGGGGTCAGTGGGAGGAACATGCCCCATCGTTGGAGTCAGTGGTATGAACAGTGACCTGTCGTTGCTGTCAGTGGCAGGAAGAGTGCCCCATCATTGGTGTCAATGGGAGGAATAGCACTCAATCGTTGGTGTCAGTGGGAGGAATAGCACCCCATTGTTGATGTCAGAAGGAGGAATAGTGCCCCATTGTTGGTGTCAGTGGGAGGAATAATGCTTCTTATCAGTGGAAGGAAAAGTACCCCAAGGGCCGGCTAAAAGCAAGCAAAGGGCCAAATCCGGCCTGTAGGTCGCAGTTTGGAGACCCTTGTCCAATACTGAGCGCACAATCCTGTAAACAGACTGGACCCAGTGTTGGATCATGTAACCACACTAACAATGATTATCATGTTGTATAAGTATAAACAAACCCTCTAAGCACTGGTAAGGAAAGAAAACTTTAAATGGTCACTGCTACAGAAAGGCTGAGTGGTCACTAGCAGCCTAAAAAATACACCAACAATTCGTGAAGGCCACTGGACTTCCCCACTGCCAGTTCCGCTGATTAGAGTCATAGCATCCAACTATCTTTCAGATAGTCACACTCCGGTACCTCTCCTATACTTTCACTGCTAAGTAATACCATATGTTATTTTTACTTTTAGTAAAAACAACAAAAAAAGAGAGATAATCCAAAGTTATTGGCTGGTCACTTTGCTATGGCATCTCCTAAGGAATTTACTCTTCAACTCAGCTCTTGAGGTGAAATGCGCAATGGAAGGTGACTATGCAATGATGTTGGGATCAATAAAGTTAAATAAGATTAAGTGAGCAGCTGTCAGTCCTTTTGAATATACAGGTGAAACTCAAAAAATTAGAATATCGTGCAAAAGTTCATTTATTTCAGTAATGCAACTTAAAAGGTGAAACTAATATATGAGATAAACCCATTACATGCAAAGCAAGATAGTTCAATCCGTGATTTGTCATAATTGTGATGATTATGGCTTACAGCTGATGAAAACCCCAAATCCACAATCTCAGAAAATTTGAATATTACATGCAATCAATAAAACATGGATTGTACATAGAACAAAAGGTGTGTAAAGGTGCAATATTCTAGGCTCTAAGCGTCCCACTCTAATCAGCTAATGAAGCCATAACACCTGCAAAAGGTTCCTGAGCCTTTAAATGGTCTCTCACTCTGGTTCAGAAGTAATCAGAATCATGGGAAAGACTGCTGACCTGACAGTTGTGCAGAAAACCATCATTGACACCCTCCATAAGGAGGGAAAGCCTCAAACGGTAATTGCAAAAGAAGTTGGATGTTCCCAAAGTGCTGTATCAAAGCACATTAATAGAAAGTTATGTGGAAGGGAAAAGTGTGGAAGAAAAAGGTGCACAATCAGCAGGGATGAACGCAGCCTAGAGAGGATTGTCAGGAAAAGGCCATTCAAAAGTGTTGGGGACTTTTCACAAGGAGTGGACTGAGGCTGGAGTCAGTGCATCAAGAGCCACCGCACACAGACGGATCCTAGACATGGGCTTCAAATGTAGTATTCCTCTTGTCAAGCCGCTCCTGAATAACAAACAAAAGAAAAACAGACCTGGTCTGTTGCTCAGTGGTCCAAAGTCCTCTTTTCTGATGAGAGAACTTTTGCATCTCATTTGGAAACCAAGGACCCAGAGTATGGAGGAAGAATGGAGAGGCACACACTGCAAAATGCTTGAAGTCCAGTGTGAAGCTTCCACAGTCTGTGTTGATTTGGGGAGCCATGTCATCTGCTGGTGTTGGTCCACTGTGCTTCATTAAGTCCAGGGTCAACGCAACTGTCTACCAGGAGATTTTGGAGCACTTCATGCTTTCTTCCACAGACGAGCTTTATGGGGATGCTGACTTCATTTTCCAGCAGGACTTGGCACCTGCCCACACTGCCAAAAGCACCAAAACCTGGTTCAATGACCGTGGGATTACTGTGCTTGATTGGGCAGCAAACTCGCCTGACCTGAACCCCATAGAGAATCTATGGGGCATTGCCAAGAGAAAGATGAGAGACATGAGACCGAACAATGCAGAAGAGCTGAAGGCCGCTATTGAAGCATCCTGGCCATAACACCTTAGCAGTGCCACAGGCCGATAGCTTCCATGCCACGCCACATTGAGGCAGTAATTGCTGCAAAAAGGGCCCAAACCAAGTACTGAGTACATATGCATGCTACACTTTTCAGAGGTCCGATATTGTTTTTTTCTATGTACAATCCTTGTTTTATTGATTGCATGTAATATTCTAATTTTCTGAGATTGTGGATTTGGGGTTTTCATGAGCTGTGAGTAGAGAGAGATGAGCGAAATTATTCAAAAATTCGATTAGACTGATTCGGCGAATTCGTGAAAAAATTTCTATTCGAGTCGAATATATTCGCTGCGAATTTAACTTATAAAAGGGTGTTTCTAAGCTTCAGAGAGCCTTTATATTAGTGCAGAACACTGTACCTTTAATTTAAATGCCCTTGGAGTCTGCTGGGGAAGAGAAATAATACTGTCAGTCAGTATGACATGCAGATGAGTGCCGTCGATCTTAGAATCACCGCACACTTCACTCATTTGGGCAGTCACGGGGCCAAAACCAGAGTGTGGAGCCACAGTGTGGCGGTGGATGGCAGCAGCAATGGGAGGCCATACAGCACCCTATGACAAAAATGGAACCCACCAGCAGTGTGAGAGACCTGAAAGTGGCACATGGCAGAGTGTGGCGATGGAGACAGCCGCAATGGGAGGCCGTACAGGGACCCATGAGAGACTCTGGACCTGGCAGCAGCATGAGGAGGCGGTACAGGGGCCCATGACAGATTACGGGCCTGGCAGCAGCATGAGGAGTTGGTACGGGGGCCCATGGCAGATTACGGGCCTGGCAGCAGCAATGGGAGGCCGTACAGGGACCCATGACACACTCTGGACCTGGCAGCAGCATGAGGAGGCGGTACAGGGGCCCATGACAGATTACGGGCCTGGCAGCAGCAGCATGAGGAGTCGGTACGGGGGGTCCATGACACACTCTGGACCTGGCAGCAGCATGAGGAGGCGGTACAGGGGCGCATGACAGATTACGAGCCTGGCAGCAGCAACTTGGACAGGAGGACGTTCAGCTTCTGCACCGTCGGGTGCGTGCTCGCAAACTGTTGTCTCTTGGAAATGGAAAGACTGCTGACGGAATCCGTGAAGAGGAGTAGCAGGAGAAGGAGCATCTGAACGAGCGGAATATGCCAACAAGCGACAACAGGGGCCCATGACAGATTACGGGCCTGGCAGCAGCAGCATGAGGAGTCGGTACGGGGGCCCATGGCAGATTACGGGCCTGGCAGCAGCTATGGGAGGCCCGTAATCTGCCAGCACCCTATGACAAAAAATGGAACACACCAGCAGTGTGTGAGGAGACCTGAAAGTGGCACATGGCAGAGTGTGGCGATGGAGACAGCAGCAATGGGAGGCCGTACAGGGACCCATGAGACACTCTGGACCTGGCAGCAGCATGAGGAGTGGGTTGGTACAGGGGCCCATGGCAGATTAGGGGCCTGGCAGCAGCTATGGGAGGCCCGTAATCTGCCAGCACCCTATGACAAAAAATGGAACACACCAGCAGTGTGAGGAGACCTGAAAGTGGCACATGTTTGGGGCATGATTCATGGCGGATTTAGTCAGTTGTGTCAGGAACTGGTGGTTTGAAATCCAGACTAATCCACGCCTGATTCATTTTCACAAACGTGAGTCTCAGTCGTGTCCTCCGCGGAGTTACAATACCTCCTGCCGCACTAAACACGCGCTCCGATGCCACGCTACTGGCCGGGCATGACAGCCTTTCAAGGGCAAATTCAGCTAGTTGGGGCCAAAGGTCAAGTTTCGTTGCCCAGTAGTCAAGGGGATTGTCTACCTCGGTTGGCAGGGTGCTGTCCAAGTAGGCCCAAGCCTGTTGTTTGAGGTCCTGCTCCAGGTCCACCTGATGCTGCTGCTGCTGCGGCTGGTTAGTAGTTTCCTCACTGCGCTGGTGAAGAAAGCTACTCATCATCGACTGCAGACTGAGGCAGCCGCTGCTGGTGGAGCTGCCACTGCTCCTACCACCCCACCCCTCCCCTGCTGCCATGGCAGCGGAACGCGAGCGCACAGGGCCCACAGTGTCTGAGGATGGACGTTGGCGCAGAAAGGCAGAGACCAACTGACTACATAGGTGGTTTTTATAGTACGTTATTTTGGCCTCCCTCTCAGCAGGTGTGAAAAAGGCCACCATTTTTGAACGGGTTAGCGAGGGTCCAACAAGGTGGACAGCCAAAAGTCATCCCTCTGTCTGATGGTTATTATTCGGCTGTCGCTACGCAAGCAACCGAGCATGCTATGGGCCATTTGTGCCAAGGAATGCGAGGGACTCCCTGCCTCCATCTCCACAGCATACTGCCACGGTGCGTCTGGGTCCTCTGTCTCCTCCTCCTCCTCTACCAGATGCTCCTGCTCCTCCACTCCTGTCCGCTGAGTGGAAAAACCACCCATTTCACTCAATAATTCCTGAGCACAAATGTCCTCCTCTACCTCCTCCTCTTCTTCCTGTCCTGCCCCCACAGGGGTCATGTGGCGTTGAGATCTGTGCGCCACGTCTACCGCACCCTGACCAGCCATTGTTAACAGCATTTGTTCCAGGACGTGCAACAGAGGAATGACGTCGTTCATCCCATAGTCCTGCCGACTCACGAATAGCGTGGCCTCCTCAAAGGGCCTGAGCAAGCGGCAGGTGTCACGCATGAGCTGCCAATGGCTGACATCGAAGTTACACAGGGGAGTACCTTTATCCGCTTGTAACATCAGGAAATCGGTGATGGCCTTTCGCTGTTCGTAAAGGCGGGTCTAACATGTGTAGGGTTGAATTCCACCTTGTTGCAACGTCGCAGATCAGGCGATGCTGTGGAATTCCGTTCTGCCGCTGCAGCTCAAGGAGGGTGTGCTTTGCGGTGTAGGAATGGCTGAAATGCATGCAAAGTTTACGTGACATTTTAAGGATGTCTTGCAGTGGGATGGTGGATTTTAGGAACCGCTTGACAACCAGATTGAACACGTGAGCCATGCATGGCGCATGGCACAACCTTCCTTGACGCAGAGCAGACACCATGTTCTTTCCGTTGTCGGTCAACATGGTTCCGATTTTCAGTTTGCGCGGAGACAGCCATCTGTCGATTTCTCTGTTCATTACACTCAGAAGTTCCTCCCCTGTGTGACTACGTTCGCCAAGGCATACCAGGTGCAGCACAGCGTGACACCGTTGCGCCCTGCACATGTGATATGCCGGTCGGGTAATGGGACTTGGCACGGGGGGTGGCGGCTGAGGACACGGCGGAAGAAGAGGTGGTAGAGGCGGACATCTTTTGTGGACCAAGGACGTGCAAACGTGGAGGCAAAAGCGGCGTGACCTGTCCAAGTTGCTGGTGCGGCTGTGCCGGCACCACGTTCACCCAGTGGGCCGTAAATGACATGTACTGTCCCTGACCGTAGTTACAGCTCCACACGTCGGCGCTGCCGTGCACTTTGGCAGAGACCGACATGCTCAAAGACTGGCCCACCATCTCTTCTACATGTGAATGCAGGGCTGGCACTGCCTTTTTTGGCGAAGAAATGACGGCTTGGCACTCTCCACCGCGGCGCGGCACAAGCCATCATTTCTCGGAAAGGTGCTGAGTCCACCACTTGGAAAGGGAGGGACTGCAGCACCAGCAACTTGGACAGGAGGACGTTCAGCTTTTGCACCGTCGGGTGCGTGCTCGCAAACTGTTGTCTCTTGGAAACGGATTCCAAGAAAGACTGCTGACGGAATCCGTGAAGAGGAGTAGCAGGAGAAGGAGCATCTGAACGAGCGGAAGATGCCAACGAGCGACAACTCCCCTCAGCAGAGGTGTTGGAGCCTTGACTGGCTGATAGAGGGCGATTGACGTCGGGGTGACGGAGCAAGTAACGGAGCGGGTGATGGAGCGGGGGCTGGGGCAGGCAGAACCGCCGTATCTTTATCACGGTTTTCCCAGGCCACCAAATGGCGACGCTGCATATGCTGCCGCAACGCTGTAGTAGTCCCAACATGGGCCCCCTGGCCACGCTTGACTTTCTGGCCACATAGTCGACATACGGCTACGTTTACTTCCTCGGGCGGCTTGACGAAAAATTGCCACACCGCCGAGTAGGAAACTTTGCCCCCGATACTCCTCACTGGCTGACTGCTACTTCCTCCGTGCACACCGGCACCACTACTGGCCGTGGTGGTAGGCTGCAGTGGAGCTGGTGCTCTACTCCGTGGCCGTTTGCCTCCACTGACACTGCTGTGACCCTGCTGCCTCCTGGGCAACCCACCGACTGTTTTGCTCGCTGCCAAGCTGCCACCCTCTTCTCCTGATGATGCGGAAGCAATAGCCTGATGACGACGAGGCTGCCAAGTGCGATCAGCCTCATCATCATCAATTAGGGTCTCCGCCTCACTACTAGCCCCCTCGGCTGCGTGTGGGTCAGGAGACAGACCTGTCTCTAGACCGGCTACCGAGCCACTCTCCTCGCCACTACTTCTTCGCCTGGCTGCTGAAGAGGCGGATGTCTCCCCCCCGTTCCTGACCGCCCTCTGTTAGCTCTTCCTCACTGTACAGTGGGGCTGAGCCCACAGCATGCGATACTTCGCTTGGTGAGGGAACACCAAAGGACAGGGGCAGGTCGAGGACACGTGATTTCAGTGGGCTTGCTCCTGGGCCATGCCAACTAACGGTTGTGTCTGACGTACCCACCGACCGTTGGCTGTAGGTGTCAGAGGTGACCTGGGAAGAGGAAGACGACCGAGCCAACCAATCGATGACGGCAGGGTTGTCGGTGGAGACACGACCGCTGGATGACACCGGGAGCATGGCCTCTGGCTGCGACTAGTGCTGCCTCGACCCCTTCCTCTGCTGCCACGGCTGCTCGCTCCTAAAACATTGCCTCCTCTGCCACTCCTCTGCATGTTGTCTGACATACTCTTTAATTAAACGATTCTGTGTCCCTGAGTAACAATTCTGTGTCCCTGAGTAACAATTCTGTGTCCCTGAGTAACAATTCTGTGTCTGTCCCTGAGTAACAATTCTGTGTCTGTCCCTGAGTAACAATTCTGTGTCCCTCAGTAACAATTCTGTGTCCCTCAGTAACAATTCTGTGTCCTCAGTAACAATTCTGTGTCCCTGAGTAACAATTCTGTGTCCCTCAGTAACAATTCTGTGTCCCTCAGTAACAATTCTGTGTCCCTGAGTAACAATTCTGTGTCCCTCATTAACAATTCTGTGTCCCTCAGTAACAATTCTGTGTCCCTCAGTAACAATTCTGTGTCTGTCCCTGAGTAACAATTCTGTGTCTGTCCCTGAGTAACAATTCTGTGTGTCCCTAAGTAACGTTTCTGTGGCCCTAAGTAACGGTTCTGTGTCCTGAGTAACAATTCTGTGTCTGTCCCTGAGTAACAATTCTGTGTCTGTCCCTGAGTAACAATTCTGTGTCTGTCCCTGAGTAACAATTCTGTGTCCCTCAGTAACAATTCTGTGTCCCTCAGTAACAATTCTGTGTCTGTCCCTGAGTAACAATTCTGTGTCCCTAAGTAACGTTTCTGTGGCCCTAAGTAACGGTTCTGTGTCCCTCAGTAACAATTCTGTGTCTGTCCCTGAGTAACAATTCTGTGTCCTCAGTAACAATTCTGTGTCTGTCCCTGAGTAACAATTCTGTGTCCCTAAGTAACGTTTCTGTGGCCCTAAGTAACGGTTCTGTGGCCCTAAGTAACGTTTCTGTGGCCCTAAGTAATGTTTCTGTAGCCCTAAGTAACATTTCTGTGGCCCTAAGTAACGTTTCTGTGGCCCTAAGTAACGTTTCTGTGGCCCTAAGTAATGGTTCTGTGTCCCTCAGTAACAATTCTGTGTCCCTCAGTAACAATTCTGTGTCTGTCCCTAAGTAACAATTCTGTG